AATGTGAATAAGAACGACGCTATCTTTAAGTTTACCTCGCGTCGCGTTATAACGCAATGGATAATGCGACGCGTGACGCGCTCAGTGGGAATTCATCCTAAAAAAAAATGTATAAAAATTTTTTATATTGGTGAACTTGATGAGAACGAAAAATGTGCTATAAACTGGTTACCTAAATGTCCCTAGCATTTTGGGTTTAAACCGAGTTAATGAAATCAGACATAAGTAAAAAATATTCTATACATGATCTGCATAGAGAAACTCTACGAGATGGCAGCACAATAAATTCAAAGAAAAAACATGGTGATGATTCCTTGTAACTGCGCTCCCACTGTGTGATATCGCATGTGATTCCAACTTGTCAGCGGAACTTATCGATGATATTTTTATTGTCTTTGTTCTTATGTTGTGCGTTGCGAATTTTAATAAATGATGTAATAGGCAAAACTTGAAGATGTCAAAATTGAATGGACAATTTTTTCTTTGTTTTAAATTGATTATTATCGCTTCGACTGTACGTAACGCATATATAATTATGTTTACTTTTTTAAATTTATTGTTTCATGTTACTATTATATGTTTTGTGTTGTTTCTTAGAAATAGATAGTTTAACTGGATAATTAATACATTTATATTTAATAGAATCAATCTATTATTTATATTTATTTAATATTTATTTAGCTATATATTCCATATATATTCCTAGTCATCCTTTTTAATGAATACTCAATTTAATCTAAAAAGATACTAATTATTGATATTTATTGTAGGTTTTAACTGTAATTTTCGCAACTTATTGTGAAGTACCTGAACATAATTTAAGTCTTGTATATAATTTAACAAAGTTGTCATTTAGGGAAGATATTATCATCAAGCACGATTATCCTAATGAAACAATACGAATGCAATTATGTTCTCCGTTAATCAAAAAATGCAATAACCAAGATGGTTATGCAATATGTCTTATAAAAAATAACATAGAAAAGGGAATAGGTAATATTATGTAGCTTAAATGTTATTTATTAGAGATATATATAATTATAAATTTGAAAAAGGAATTAATTTTGTTTATATATAGGAAAGTTTCCCCCAGTCTTAGATACATCTGGCAGAATCTTATTTAACTTTACTGGTGACAATTGCCTAGATGGAATCAATTATACAGTGCATGTTATTATAAAATGTGATTATAGCATAGGGAATAATTCGTATCCTGAATTATTTCCACATGTAAGTAATTTTTTTTAAGATAAATTTAGATTGAGTATTGTATGTGATAAAGATATTTTTAGAGCGATCAACAATGTAATTTATTTATGATATGGAAAACGGCATTGGCTTGTGGACCCAGAACTCAAACAAACTGTACAGTTGTCAATGATGGACGTTATTATGATTTAAGTCCTTTGACAAGGTTCACAGAAAATTATGAGATTTCCATAAATAATATGACGTATCCCAAAATAATATTAAATGTTTGTCATTCTACAATACATCAATATAGTGCCATATGTCCAATTAAATCTGGAGCTTGTTTGGATGATCCTAAAAATCCCAAGAGGTAGATATTGATATATCTTTTATTAAAATCTTTTATTTAAATTAGATGCAATGCAATTGTATAATTATATATTATCATGCAGACTATTTTGTTTTAATTGACATATTAGAAATTCTTTAAACATAAGTGAAATATAAAAATGTAATTTTTATAACGTTATATAATTGCTTTAGAAAACATAATTAGTATTCTATAAGATATTATTTTATTTTAAAATATTATTTTAAAAGTAATTGTACATTTTTTTACATAAATTGATTTACTTTATTTTTTATAAAAGTATTAATATAAGATTATTGGAAATGAATGTTTTTTACAAAATGTGGAAAATATTTTATATCACTTAAGAAACAAAAAGTCATAAAGATGATGTCAAAATGATATTATTTTGATGTTATTTTGATCTTTATATGAATTTTTTATTCTACTTGCGTAACAGATATCAAAATAAAATTAAAATTTCTTTTAAAATATAGTTTTTTAGAAATACTTTAATAACAAATGAAGTTACTTAAAGGTTATAAATATAGATGTTTTAAAAATTGATTCTATTTAAAAAGATGGTAATGATTTTTATGTGACTTTGGAGCTTCCATTTAAAGAAAAATTTTTAATAAAATAATTTTTAACTCGTTACGTTAAAAACCATAATGTGATAAAAATTGCATTTTTATATTAGTTTTAAAAAAATTTGAATATATAAATTAAAAAATAGAAGGATTGTATATATGAATATAAAACTTTTTTTTTTAAATAAATTTTTTTTAAAATAAATCTTGTAGATATTCTAGTCTGGGAGAAGTGCAAAAACCTCCTTTCTTTGCGAATGGTCATTTAAAAATAGAATATCAGGATGGTGCAGTATGCAAAATGGAAAATATAATGACTCCTCATATTAAAACAACTATAACATTTATATGTAATTTGAAATCTATGGTATAACATTTATCATAATGAAATTTATATGTATATAGCAGAAAATATACTAAATCCATTTAATGAATATCATAATATTGTTATTAGGAATCTATCCCAGAATACATAGGAGGAAGAAATTGTCATTATCAGTTAATATGGTATACCGCTGCAGCATGTGACATTGAGACTTTGCGTAATTATAGTATTACAACAGCAGATAAGTGCATTGTTACAAATCCAGTTACTAATTTCACGTAAGAATACTCTCTGATATACAATTAATATCAATAAATATATAACACATTTATAATTTATCTATGTATTATCTATGTATTTATCTATGTATTTTGTAATATACAGATATAACTTGCAAACATTAATGAACAGAGACTTCACCGTTACAAGTGCAAGCAATGTTAAATACAAATTCAGTGTTTGTAGTATGCTTATTAACAGTACCTGTGGCACTGGGACAGGTGCTATACTTTATCATAAAACTACGATGTTTATATTAAGTAGTAAATCTGAATTTTATTTATTGTCATTTTTTTTGTATAGGAGTATGCAATTCAGAACATGGTACATCATTAGGCCAAGCTAATACAAATCTAATATGGAAACAAGGTGGTCCCTACTTAAATTATACCAACGGGGATTTGTGTAAAAATGAAATGCGTCGTCATACACTTATTGAATTTTTGTGTGGACCTGAAGGATCACCTGATTTGCCGTTGCTTATGGAAGAATATCCTTGTCAAACCATCATACATTGGAATACAAATTTAGTTTGTGAGAAAAGAGTAAGCGTTATTATATATATATATTAGTTTTTTTATATTAGTTTTTCATGATGTAATAAATACAGAATTATTTTTTTGTTTAGATTAAATGTGCTACTGATAATGACGATGAAATCAATTTAACTCCGCTTATACAATCTAGAAAGAATTACATTATAAAAGTTAATAGTACGGAATTTCATATAAATGTATGTCGACCATTAATTCCTACTCAAGGTCTTACATGTGAACATGGTAGTGCTGCTTGTAAAGTTTTGGTAACTTCAAAGAATGAATATGTTAATGAAATTGTGAGTATAATTAATATTTATATTGCTATTAGTAACATCATAATAATAGAAAATATATAGTAATTTAAATATCACAATAATTTAAACACATATTTTCATTAAAATAATAATTTAATTAAAGAGTTTAGGATTCCCTGAGGAAAGTCCAACATTAAATAAAGATCTACAAACAGTATTACGTTATATTGGTGGTTCACAATGTCCAGAAAATCCAGCTAAATCGATATCTTCAAATTTCATATTTATTTGCAACAATAATAATCAGGTAACAATATATACAATTTTTCAAAAATGTTAATTTCTATTTCAATACTAAACTTGTTATTTAATCAAATTTAATCAAATTAATCCAAAGAATTTAGAAGAAAATCATATCTTATTGCAGCTTTTTATATTGTTAAAGAATTAATATTTGTGAAATATTAAACTTAAAATTGTAAAAGGTAAAACCTGTTTAAATTTATGTAAAGTCTTGTTTATTTTATATAATACATTTTCGTATTTTTAGGGACTTCCAGTATATAAACATTATATTGATTGTACTTATGTATTTGAATGGAATACTAGTATAGCATGTGGAGCTGTAATGGGAGATTGGAAATCACCATGTACCATAAAGGATAGTTTTCTATCATATGAATATGATCTTTCTTTGTTATATAAAAAGCAACAAATACATTATGTAAGTTTAAAATGTTAATAGTAATTTTGTGCAGTTATATATGTATGTGTGTTTGTGCGCGCGCGAGGGGGGGCGTATAGGGTGTCCCGTAGCATATTATCATTGTTCGTGAGAAAGTAGATGGGAGCGAGATAAATCAAAATATCTTATATCATTTTGCGATATTCGCAATAATTTTCGAGTTATTAAATATTAAAGTTGCACAAATAAGAGCGCGCGGGGAGAAAGCGCTCGTCCGCCTGACCTGTAGGACGACCCAGCGTGACTACAATGGCCATCCGGCGCTCGGCGATGGGCGGAGCGCGCGCGGCGAGGGGAAGGATAGTAGCCGCCGCTCATTCGTCCTACAGGTCAGGCGGGTGAGCGCTTTCTCTCCGCGCGTCCTTATTTGCAATTTTAATATCTAATAACTCGAAAATTATTGCGAATATCGCAAAATGGTATGACATTTTCATTTAGCTCGCTCCTATCTTCTCACAAGCGGTGTTACACATACTGCGGGACAGCCTGTGTGCGTGCGTGCGTGCGTGCGTGCGTGCGTGCGTGCGTGCGAGATGTAATAATTATCTAATCTACTTTTAAATGATTTTGTTATCATTGACAATAATGCCTATCAATAATGTAATATCTATTAATGAAATATCAGCAAACTTATCAAAAATAAAATTATAGGTGAAAAGTAGACAAGGTAAGGAATATGCTCTGAATATTTGCGGCGGAGAAAAGTATTGTAACGGTTCTGCTATATGTCACGAAGGCAATGGTTATGGATCGTTGGGAAGTGTGATTTTCGATTATAGTCGTGATAATATAAAACTAAAATATTCAAATGGCAGTAAATGTAACAATAGTAAGTTAAATATTTGCGTTTTGCTAATATACTCATTTACAAGTATATATAAAAGATACATTTTTATGTAACAGGTTCTTACACATCTGAAGTAAGATTTATTTGTGACTTATCTGTGAGCATCGGTACACCACAATTGCTATTGGTAAGTGAAAATAAATATACAATGTCTCTAGGTAAAATATGAAATTTTTCAAAAGTAAGATAATGAAAATTAGATATTAATAAGAATTTGAATTCTAAATTTTATTTATAGAAATATATAAATAAAATATAAATCACAATTATAATAGATTAGATTTTTAGATAAAAATAAATTAATAAATTTTAGCTTACTTTTGAAACTTTTCTTTTATTAATGATTATATATGGCATTTCGAAATTTCTTTCCAAGCATTTCAGATACAATTCTTTATATAACAAATACATCTAGACAAAATATTTTATATTTAATTATACTAATATAACCTGTGGAATTAATTTTTAATATTGCTTGATTCATTTATGTTTCGTCAAGATTTTAATTTATAATATGCATGTTATATACATTTCCCATATGCAAATATATTAAATTTTGAAAAGATTATTATATTTACAATATTTATAATTGATTTTCATTAATTTAATATAATTTCATATATATATATATATATATATCCTGTTATGATAGTACAAATCTTCGTCATTATTTTCTTATAAAATAATTTATGGATTATGTTTTGATTTTTTTGTTTGGATTTATCCATTTCTATCAATATACCAAAGAGTTTAACTTTAACCGCAGTTAATTTATTCTCTATTTTTTTCTAATTTTTAGAATTAAAAAAGATAAAAAGTTAACCAATAAAAAATTAATATACATTGATAGAAATGAATATAAGAATAAAACCTGAAGATATATCAAATAAGATAGGAAAGAAAGATATGCACAAAAAACCAAGACACTTTATATTTGCACGTTCTATTGATGTATGAAAATGTTTTAAAAATTACATGAAAATAGTTATAAATCATAATTAATTACAAATTAATTGTTTGTCAGGTACTTAATAACTTAAATCTTAATAACTTAAATTTATAGATATGTTTTTTGTTCTTGTTGCATCAATGTTTAATATAAATTTATCCAATAATTTATCAATTTATTCTTATATATAGATGCTACAATAAAAGTAGAAAACATCTTGCATAAATTATTACATAAAAAATATATGTAAATATATGTTATAAACTTTTTTTCATTATTGCACTATATACATCATACATTGGTATATTTTATAGCTAAATCAAGTGCGCGCATTACAATACGTAACATGTTCATTGAGTATTTTCTTATAAGAGATATTAAAATATATCTTAAACTTACAATATTGCAACACTATAACATATTATAAAAGCTATAACACATTAAAGATATATTCAAATATACTTACTGATATATATAATGAAGAGAATAAGCATCATATTATGTAATATTCACGATAAATATATTATAAACAATAAGATTGTTAGAAATTAATTTCGATTATATATTTTTTACAAGTATATTTTATCTTGGAATCTTATAACTCACACAGAAAGCGTTTAAATTTAAGTTACGCATTTTCTGATTAAAATATTCTTAGATATTTCCCGGAAACTTAAATCGGCAGTAATATAATAAGTATTCAAAATATGTATGGCGTATTATTTTATTTAAATCAGTGCTCGGAATTAATTGCCCTTTTCGACTCGATTTCGAAGGCGACGCCTACAGTTCCCTTATCGCTCGAGACTTGACGGTCGAGCCGCCGTAGCCTTATCATATGTCTTAGGAACGTCTTATATTAAAAATGCATCATTTCCGCCAAACTATTATTAAATCAATTTCTTTATTAAATTATTTTTATTTTTACAGATATTAAATTTTTTTTAACATATTTTATGTCTTTTATAACATTTAATGATAATAAATACGTTTATAATAAAATTATTACAGAATAATTAGAATAATTAAAGTTTTAACAATAGGTTTCGCATGAGATGTTATTGTTGACACGTTTTCTTTTTAGTGGTTTCCCCAGTAAGCCTATTCCATTAAAAAATAAGAAATCAAATATGGCTTGGCAGGAAAATAAAATTCTATATTGTAAAATATGATATATAAAAAATAAGAAAAACGAAAAGAAGAGCAATTCGTATAAAAATTAACTAATTTGATTTCTTGGATCGTGTAAACGATCTATTTCTACTAGAGATATCCACAGAAATTTTAGAAGAACTAATTCGCATTAACGAGAATGCACAAGAAAAGAAAAACGTCTTTTGAACGCTTACTACTTCTGCTGATGCAAACCAGTTCTTCCAAAATTTCTATTGATATATCATCTCTAAAATTATGCATACAACGTAGAAAATAAAATTAATTTTCCATGATGTCTAAACAAACAAAAGGTCATTCCGGTCACGCTTTTATTTTTCATTTCTTCTCAAGTCATATATTTGATTCTTTTTAATAAGAAACTGTTAAGTACTATTAAGTACTTTAAATAAGGAAACTATTAAGTAAGGAAATTACTAAGGAAATCACTTTAAAAAAATATGTCAATAATAATACATAGCTTACGAGTGATGTGGAAACCTATTGTTAAAACTTTAATTATTCTATTATGTAATATTTTATAATAATATAATAAGATTATAAACGTATTTATTATCATTAAATATCATAAAATACATAAAATATATTAAAAAAATTTAATGTTTGTAAAAATAAAAATAATAAAATTTAATAAAAAATTACTTTAATAATGGTTTGGTGGAATATACAATTTGGGCGCATTTTTAACATGAAATGTTCCTGAAAGCGTGCGGCGGCTCGGCCGTCGAGCTTCGAGTGATAGTGGGGGAGGGGAGGGGGGCAGTAGGCGTCACCTTCGAAATCGGACCGAAAAGGACTACTAATTCCGAGCACTGATTTAAATTAGAAACACTATAATCAGAGACTGGTCACGAAAAAATAACTTTTGATTTGTCCATTTTTTGGCTATTCCTATTTTTTTTCAAATACATTAATTATATTAATCTTAAATTGTATTATTATAATTTAAAAACATAAGCGTTTTAAAGGTAATAAAATGTTTATATTTATGTATATATTTATAAAACTTTTACATAATTATTTCATAATTATATTGTCAATTTATTAATATATATCCTTTAATGGTTAGAGTTTTAAATTTATTTATTTATTTTTTTTTCGCTATTTATCTTTTTCAACACAAGAGCAAAAATTAATATACTATTATACTACTGTTACACTATAATACACTATAATATTTTTAACTTTTTGATACACAATTGTCAAAACGATCCTCTGTGAAATCAATACAATGACAACTATTCACAAAGTTAGCGTAGCGAGAGAACCCATTGCGGAAAAGCGTCAATAAACTTCAAGGAAATTTCGAAAGATGCAAGTATCGATGTCATGCCTTTTTTTAGAAAGAATTATTATACATATTTATTATTATTATAAACAAACTTTATTACAATATAAAATAAAATTTAAATAAAAAAATGAACATCTATCCATTTTTTATTTGATTTATTACAATTAATTAATTTATGACTATATTTTGCAATTTTAATATTTCTATTATTTAATAATATATTATCGCGCTTTCCACGTGTTTAATACACATGCATAATACACTTAAATCAATGCACATGCAAAGTAAAAAATATCGCTATTGGTTAGAGTGAGATGGTGTATATTTCTTTCTTTCTCATAGGATTTAGCCAGAACATGATCACAGTCTCTGTAGTGTCTCTAATTTAAATTACTTAGATAAATCATTTCCGAAAGTTTTTTTAATTGTATAAGAATTGATAAAAAAGATTGATAAAAAATTGATAAAATATATTAATATTATTTATTTGCCTATAACAAGGTTGTGAGAAAGTTACTTTCGAAAAGTAACTGTTATGGTACGAGTAACATTATAAATAACATATTACTTCCCAACTCTTGCGCGTGATAGATTTAGTTTAACATCAGTCAGTTACGCGTCATTCTTATTTTTTTGTATTTATTTTATTTTTTTTGTATCAAGTTTATATCCTTAATTGTTTCATTTGAAGATTCTAAATTAAGATCAAGTCTTCATAAAAAA